CAACACTAGTAGGGTTATCTGAAGATTTGTAATGAGATTTTTTTTACCTTTCTATATTTATTTAAATTTTGAGGTATTTTGTGATATTAGAATTGGAAAATATAGAAAATGCTGTGATATAAAGGTTAATTTTGAAAGCCAAGAGGTGGGAGGGAAGGAAGTCGGTAGGCTCTAAAGAGGTTAAAGTGGATAACAATGATGTGATTATATATGTTTAAATGTAAAATTAATAAAAATTATTTTATAAAAAAGGGATACGAGGGCTTTGATTTTAGGGAATGAGAGAGGACCGGGGGAATCTGGAGTCGCATCGCCAGGTGAGAAGACGGAACATCTGCACCTTTAGCAGAAGGTGAATTCGTGGCAAGGGAAATTTCAGCAGGTATGGTTGAAGTCTGCAAATTTGTCCTCTTTTTTTGCTCTTCAAAATATGGCAACCCCGTGTAAACCTCGTTGCATGTAAGCTTCATTTGTGCATCCCCATTCTGAAGTGTATAGACTGTGCAACTCTAGTGTACAAATGCCCCCATGTAGATATGGTAAGTAAGATGGGCAGATGTCAGGGGCGTTGAAAGGGGGCAGGGACAGCTGGTGTTATCACAGTGCCCAAATACCGTATTTTTTTCACCATAACACTCACTTTTTTCCTCCTAGAAAGTAAGGGGAAATGTCTGTGCGTGTTATGGAGGGAATGCCTACGGGTGACGGGGGGGGGGATCTGCTGCAGTCATGAGCAGAGGATCCATGGTTCCCCTTCCTTCCCTCCTCCGTGGCTCGCTTTGAAACAGCAAAGCGGAAGAAGAGCCGCTGAGTGGGGAGGAGAGAGGGACAGAGAGCCTGCTTCTTTAAAGGAGCAAAGCGGGAGAGGAGAGATGCCGCTTACACAAGTGTAAGCGGCTCCTGTCCGGTTGGTTCCTTTAAAGCAAGCAGGCTCTCTGTCCCTCTCTCCTCCCCACTCAGCTCGCTAAATAGCAGCAAAGTTTTTCAGCTCACTAAGCTGGGGATGAGTGGGGAGGAGGGAGAAAAGCAGAGCCTGCTTGCTTTAAAGGAGCAAAGCGGGAGAGGAGAGGAGCCTTCTCCCCTTATACCCCTCTCCTGCATTATTAGCAGCATCCTTCTCCACCCACCCCACGCGTGCTCCTTGTCCCTTGAGTGCTTTTCCTTCCCTCCCCACTTAAAACGTGGTTACAAGGCACGGATCCACATGGATCCTCAGGATTTTTGCACTGGGTCACCCCAAATTCACCATCAGATCACATAGCATGTCCATGGCTACATCTTGCACCAAAAAAATTACGCACCCACTGTTGCCTGGGGCCTCAGTGGTGCAAAAACGTGGTTACAAAGCATGGATCCACATGGATCCTCAGAATTTTTGCATTGGGCTACTCCAAACTGTCAGATCACATGTCTGTGGCCACAGCATGAACCACAAAAATCATACATCCACTGTTTCGTTTAGAATATTTTTTTTCTTGTTTTCCTCCTCTAAAAACTATGTGCGTGTTATGGTGGGGTGCGTGTTATAGAGCGAAAAATACGGTAATTCAGATAGAATACTTGCATGTCACTCAGAATAAAGACAGGATTTGTCTCTGTTACCCCAACTATGCAAAGGATTGTTTTCTCCCATATAACCCACCAAAAGGCAGTTTTGGCTTTCAGCAATGTTCTATAATTCCCCCAAATCATGCTTTTTCATAGTACAGTCATACCTTGGGTTGAATGTGCTTCGGGATGAGCACGTTCGAGTTGCGCTCCGTGGCAACCCGGAAGTAACGGAGCGTGTTACTTCCGGGTTTTGCCGCTTGCGCATGTGCAGATGCTCAAAATGATGTCGTGCGCATGAGCAGAAGCACCAAAACGTGACCCGGGCACGCGCATACCACAGACACGGGTTACGTTTGCTTCTAGATGCGAACGGGGCTCCGGAACGGATCCCGTTTGCATCTATAGGTACCACTGTAGTGCAATGAGTACAGAAACCTAGAAAGTGACTAAAATAATGTTACATTCTAGTTCAGAAAATTAAAATGCAGCAGCTTAAAAAAACAAAACAAAAACAAACAACCCCACGGTGCATTTAAGACTAAACCAGAACTGGAATACTATAATAAAGGAATATAGTAAAAGCACTCACAAACACACAAACAAATGATCCAGCTACTAAACTACACATATGAGCTTGAGCTCTACTGGGAATAAAATATTCCAGTAACAATAAGAAAAGAGACAGAAACACAAGTTTCTTATTATCACACTTCATATGTCATAAAACATAACAGCTAACTTATTTCTGGCAAAGGGACAGGACTTGCGTAACAATTTGGCTTACACAAATATTTTCTATTGTTGAGCACATCTTAAATGCACCGTGTCGTACGTTAACTTCAAGCAAACTGGGCTCTCTCAAAGTGTCCTAAACATACCTTATAGTTTCAACACACTAGCAAATCATTACTCTGCCAGCAGCATCCATGGAGCCAGGTAAACGAGAGAGAAAAGACAACTCAGCCATTCAAATATAATTGAAACCAGGTAGTACTATGTGAGCAAAATATCCTGGCCAAAGAAGCATTCTTATTTTCTAGATTACTCTACTGCTTAATATTGAATGTAATTATTAACTTCCCCACCCCCTGAGGATTACAAAAACAACTCTTTTGTGGAAACCTAAGCTTTCCAGTTGGACTGACCATCATGTAAGGTAAAGGTAAAGGTACCCCTGCCCATACGGGCCAGTCTTGACAGACTCTGGGGTTGTGCGCTCATCTCACTCTATAGGTCGGGAGCCAGCGCTGTCCGCAGACACTTCCAGGTCACGTGGCCAGCATGACAAGCTGCATCTGGCGAGCCAGCGCAGCACACGGAACGCCGTTTACCTTCCCACCAGTAAGTGGTCCCTATTTATCTACTTGCACCTGGGGGTGCTTTCGAACTGCTAGGTTGGCAGGCGCTGGGACCGAGCAACGGGAGCGCACCCCACCGCGGGGATTCGAACCGCTGACCTTTCGATCGGCAAGCCCTAGGCGCTGAGGCTTTTACCCACAGCGCCACCCGCATCCCGACCATCATGTATTATGTATAAAATATATGATATGGTCATGATACACTGTTTTGTAGATCTGGTCAGCACTTGGATGGGTGACCACTGGTAATGACATGTTCACTGCCCAGGGTTCCATGTAAACCGCTTTGAGGGTTGCCTGTCTGTTTGTTTTACATTCAAATGGTGTTTACAGGTTATACTACTACTACTAATTTTATTATTTGTACCCCGCCCATAAGACTGGGTTGCACCAGCCACGCTGGGCGGCTCCCAATAGAATGTTAAAAACATGACAAAACATCAAACATTAAAAACTTCCCTAAACAGGGCTGCCTTCAGGTGTTCTCTAAAAGTCAGGTAGTTGTTTATTTCCTTGACATCTGACATCCGCAGGGTGGGCACCACTACCGAGAAGGCCCTCTGCCTGGTTCCTTGTAACCTCACTTCTCACAGTGAGCGAACCTCCAGTGTCTAGGCTGAAGGATGGGGGTGGAGACGCTGGGCCGAGGCCATTTATGGCTTTAAAGGTCAGCACCGACACTGTGAATTGTGCTTGGAAACATACTGGGAGCCAATGAAGATACTTCAGGACTGATGTTATATGGTCCCAGCGGCCGCTCCCAGTCACCAGTCTAGATGCCGCATTCTTGATTAGTTGTAGTTCCGGGTTACCTTCAAAGGTAGTCCCACGTAGAGTGCATTGCAGTAGTTCAAGTGGGATAACCAGGGCATGTACCATTCTGGTGAGACATTGCTCAGGCAGCTAGAGTCTCAGCTGGCATACCAAATGGAGCTGGTAGACAGCTGCCCTGGACCCAGAATTAACCTGCATTTCCATGGGCAGCTCTGAGTCCCAAATGACCCCCACAGTGTCACCTCATTCGGGGCCGGGAACCCCCCACACCTGCCCACCCCGTCCCCAAGAAACAGCACCTTCATCTTGTTGGGATTCAACCTCAATCTGTTATGAAATAAGTACAATAAGTTATGAAATAAATAAATAATAATAATAATAAGGTGTTTTTTTAAAAAAAAATGCAACACGAATAAATAAAAAATAGGTCGGTCCTGTTTGCAAGCTCAGTTACCACAAAAGGGTTAATCCTAACCTTTGAGTGCAACCTGAAAAGGTTATTAACCTGAGGTACCACTTTAGCTAATGGGGCCTCCTGGTGCTGCCGCGCCGCCACCGTGCGATTTCTGTTCTCATCCTGAGGTAAAGTTCTTAACCCGAGGTACTACTTCTGGGTTAGCGGAGTCTGTAACCCAAAGTGTTTGTAAACCGAGGTGTTTGTAACCCAAGGTACCACTGCATATAAATGGAATAAATAACAATGGTAATAATAATCATTTACAGATTGTGATATCAACCTTTTCGCATTTATACCCTACATAATCATTAGATCGGGATGCAGGTGGCGCTGTGGGTTAAACCACAGAGCCTAGGACTTGCCGATTAGAAGGTCGGCAGTTCGAATCCCCGTGATGGGGTGAGCTCCCGTTGCTCGGTCCCTGCTCCTGCCAACCTAGCAGTTCGAAAGCATGTCAAAGTGCAAGTAGATAAATAGGTACCGCTCCGGCGGGAAGGTAAACGGCGTTTCCATGCGCTGCTCTGGTTCGCCAGAAGTGGCTTAGTCATGCTGGCCACATGACCTGGAAGCTGTACGCCGGCTCCCTCGGCTAATAAAGCGAGATGAGCGCCGCAACCCCAGAGTCGGCCACGACTGGACATAATGGTCAGGGGTCCCTTTACCTTTAATCATTAGATCATCAGGCGTCTGCACTAAATATCAGCAAAAGCATTACCAAACCATCAAATAAACCAACAGGTTTCTCAGCCCATCTTGAGTAAATGAAAGCAGTTGCCAGAAAATTACACATTGTGTGGAGAAGGGTCAAGGGGAGGGAGGGGATGGCAAGAGGTCAACAAGTTCAGGCATCTCTGACATACCTCCACATCTTGTGCGCGCTTCATCATTTCAATGATCATGTAGGCACCGATGGAATGGCCAATGAGCACAAGCTTCACATCTTTTGGTACATTCTTTCGAATAAAGCTCAACTTGTGTTCTATTTGTCCACGAAGTCCAAAGCCATCATTTAGTTTATTAACATCCGTCTCTGCAAAGAACCCCAAAACATATTTCATTTCCTTCGCTTTGAAAAGGTTTAATCTCATTCATTCTAGCTTCTTACGACCATTCTTTGAAAAGACGGCCAAAACTTTTCGCAACTTATTTTAAGATGACATTAGCGGTGATGGGTGATTGATTAAGGAACAAAACGACCAAGTTCTCTTGAGAAAGGCCAACTTTATGCCATGGGATTCCATGTACAACAAGGGTGCCCTCCATCAAGAGTGGACTACAACTGCCATCGGCGTCAGCTAGCGTGGCCAATGGTCAGGGATAAGAGTCGTCATAGTCCAAAACTTGTGGAAGGCACCATATTGGCTACCTCTGACATACAACATTACCTAAAATTATGGCAGCTCCATGCTATGACTTCCCCCCCACATGGAATTACATTCCATGGAAGGGCATATATAGGGCTTTAAAAGCTGACTCACGAACTCTCTCCTTGTTCCCAAGGAAAACTCTCACCCACCTTTAGCAATGCTCACAAAGGAAATACCCAGTGTGTTATAATGGATGGAATTCCAGACTAATACACATTTACCTGGAAGCAAACCCCCTTGAATTCAAAGGGACTTCCTTCTGAGCAAGAGTGGCTGGGGAAAACCAGACAGATGGGCGGGGTAGAAATAAATTATTATTATTATTATTAATTATTATTATTCTGCTATTAAGACCCACGTTCATATCTCTACTATGCCGTAAACCTCACAGAGTGTAATAAGGGCTAGCCACCAATTCTTATGGGTGGATTGGTGGTTGTGGGGTGGGGTGGGGGGCATGGAGGAAACTGTTGAATGGTCTCTTTAAATTTGAAGGTTCATTATTGTTCCACAAGATGTGTATTTCTTTAAAGGCCAGAGCAAATAACGTGACCTAGTTTTACAGCTGTGAAGCAGAATAGCAGGTGCTGTTAAGTTGTGGTAATTAGGCTGTTGGGTATGTTATATAAAAGGGTGTCGCTGTGGATTAAACCACAGAGCCTAGGACTTGCTGATCAGAAGGTCGGCGGTTCGAATCCCCGCGACGGGGTGAGCTCCCGTTGCTCGGTCCCTGCTCCTGCCAACCTAGCAGTTTGAAAGCACGTCAAAGTGCAAGTAGATAAATAGGTACCGCTCCGGCGGGAAGGTAAATGGTGTTTCCGTGCACTGCTCTGGTTCGCCAGAAGCGGCTTAGTCATGCTGGCCACATGACCCAGAAGCTCTCATGGCCAATAAAGCAAGATGAGCGCCGCAACCCCAGAATCATCCGCTACTGGACCTAATGGTCAGGGGTCCCTTTACCTTTATGGTATATAAAGAGCAGCATGTAGCTTTCTCAGTATCCTGGGGAATGGGTCATGCTTATTGATATATTGTAATTTAGTGTAAAATGAGTTTTTGTATTTGTTATTAAAACCTAGCAAAAGTTATGTTGTGTTTCTTGAATGTGTGGTCTCCTCAGCATGTTCTCTGCAGCGCAACAAATCTGCAAAATAGCCAACAGAAACTACATAACCTGCCCTGAGATGACTTGCTGCAACCAGTTGTACAGGTCTGCCTGTGATAAAATTTTTGGAACTTTAATACCATATTCAGCACATGAAGAAATATAAAGTCAATTATAATTATGATCATCCATCAGCACAAGCGTTTCTACTTGGAATGATCTCCCTTCTCTTTCCCCCCATGGGCTGTTCAGGGGATTCTCCTGGTCATCCATAGGCAATGGGGGGCACAAGAGGAGAAGGGAGAAGCCCTGTTGTGCTAGCACAACTATCTAACAGAATCGGGGCCCATGTTTGCTTTCACGAAGTCCCATCTCCTGCATGAAAGAAGCCACCCTCAACTATACCTCTGGATTTTTTAAAACAACAACAACAGTGGTACACAAAATATAACTGTTGGGTATAAAATATTTGTTTCAATATTGTCTTCTAATGACTGGTTTTCAGTTTAAACCTTCAGCAAAGGAAGTGAGGTTCCTACAGGAAGAGCTCTGAGCAGGCCAATTAACGCAGTTATTAAAGCTGTTCATTGTCACATCGCGGCGGTATTTATGTCTTGTTAAAGGAATACTGGCAAAGTGGATAAGGACATGGAGAAAAAGAAGTATAAGAATGCACACACCTGCCGCAAAATGAGAAGCAACATTTCATCTACAAGGCTTTAAACAGGTAATGGAAAATGAAAAGGTTAGTTCTGGGCCTAAGGCTGAAACTTTGTTTTCAAACTAATGTCTATTTTTTAGTCCTAGTTGCTTCATTTTTTTAAAAAATCTATTCCATAGCCTTGTCATGCACACGAATTCGCTGACCACCTAATTCAGGGTTTCCCAAACTTGAGCTTCCAGCTGTTTTTGGACTACAACTCCCATCATCCCTAGCTAGCAGGATCAGTGGTCAGGGGGTGATGGGAACTGTAGTCCCAAAACAGCTGGAGACCCAAGTTTGGGAAGCCCTGATAATTTATCCCATTCAAAGTATACGGACAGTATGAAACATGATACATAAGATCCATTGAGTCACGGAAGATAACAATTTCCGTACATGCTTTAATGATGACAAATCTCACCCATCCTCTTTTGCTTGATCAACCCAGCAATATCATTTAGCTGAATGATACATGGTTCAGCCATACAATCAGATATTTAGGTAAAAAAGGAGTTTTAAGCTGGAGCCCTGTGCAATAATTTTTGCAAGCTATTTCCCCCAAATTGCAGTTGTGTATACCGCTTTTACGGAGATTCGCCTTTTTACACATTCTGCATCACAGAATTCGGAGAAGCGTGAAGTTCAAAGGAGAGCTCGTCTTTTGGTTTGTGTCTTGGTTCAGGAACTGCACCTTTGATGAGTTCATATTTAGATGCAAACTGTCCCTAGTCAGGAGACAAGCAGATTCTGGACTAGGCTTTCCATCTGTTTTGGAATGGGCAGCACTCCCCTTGAAGAACCAGGCTGTATTTAACTAACCATTGTTTCAATTATTGAATGTTGATTAATTTCTATCTATCATCATGGGGCAGTTGGTTGGGGACTAGGACAGAATTTTCAATCAACTTTTTAAAACCCCCTACAGATATCTGCGGACAAGGTATGAAAGCACTGTGTTTTAGATTAACCCTGAGACCTTATAAAAGCCTCCCCACCCTTGGGAAATGTTCCTGTGACTTCCAATATAAACACCCACTTCATTAGTGTTTATTGGGGTAATTACTTTTGGTAAAAGTATCCTCTACAAATAAACGAACATGTGCTCAGGATTCTCAAACAGGGTGCTAAGAGAATTGTTTACTGCTGAAGGTAGACCTTAAGTTTACCAACCTCTGTTATCGACAATAAACTTCAGTTTGCGATATTGGTGACAACTGTTCAGCACCAATAGCTAACGTATACAGGGAGATTCGAAATTGATAGTACTCCTTTGGATTTATATAGGCAGCTTTCTTTGTGTACTCAAAGGACTTGGATTAACTCAGCATTCCATACAATGATAGATAGTAGCTCATATTATTATATATTATCACTGTATTATAATTATTCGCTGGAGAATTTGTGCTTTTGAATTATGGTGCTGGAGGAGACTCTTGAGAGTCCCATGGACTGCAAGAAGATCAAACCTCTCCATTCTTAAGGAAATCAGCCCTGAGTGCTCACTGGAAGGACAGATCATGAAACTGAGGCTCCAATACTTTGGCCACCTCATGAGAAGAGAAGACTCCCTGGAAAAGACCCTGATGTTGGGAAAGATGGAGGGCACAAGGAGAAGGGGACGACAGAGGACGAGATGGTTGGACAGTGTTCTCGAAGCTACCAGCATAAGTTTGACCAAACTGCGGGAGGCAGTGGAAGACAGGAGTGCCTGGCATGCTCTGGGACAAGGAGTCATGAAGAGTCAGACACGACTAAACGACTAAACAACAACAATATAATTATTTCATTTATTAATAGCTTCGCATGAGGCATGCAGAAACAAATTACATTGTGACTATCTAGGTTACCCAATTAGCTCATGGCTGAAATTTGAACAGAGGAGATCTGGATCTCAGTACATGCGCTACATACCAGCTCTGGCAAATCAAATGATAAGGCTTGTGCAAGTACTTAGGCAACCAAGAGCTAAGGCAACATTACAATGTGGCTGTTTACAATGGTTCCCTTGCGAAAGCAGCCTCAGGATGAGATGATCAGCACAGAATGAGCAGGAGAGGAACCTGTGATTTAACCCTGTTACCAGCATTCATCTCAAGTTCTCTCCATCAAATGCTCCATCTCACCCTTGGCATGCAACTGTGGGCAGGGGAGAAAATGTTTCAAAGGAAAATGGGACTTGCTAGGGAAAGTGTCACGCACTCTCTCCCCTCCCTTTCAACTGCAAATGTCTGCTCCTCATAAAGTGCTCTGTGAAGGTGAAACAGCCATGAGGTCCAGCTACACAGCCATATTCTCACATTGGCTGACACTCAAAGGCTCCTCGTCAGGCAAGTCAGCTCATTCCTATTTTTATTATGATTACAAGCAAGATCATAGGCGCCGACTCCATGGGGCCTGAGGGGGCCCGACCCCCTCAAAAATTCGTTTGGGGGGGGCTCTGCCCCCCCAATAATTTAAGAAAGTTATTAGTTTCGCGCACTGCTTCCCTGCGAAAGCGGGCGGAGGCGGCGAAGCGGCGGCGAGATCTAGGCTGCCCGGGGAGCCGCGCCGCGGCCGGGCGGGCGGGAGTCCCCTCGGGGGTCGGGGGCTGCCTGCCCTCGCCTCGCTCCTCCGCGGCCTCCGCCCGGGATGCTGCCGTCCGGCCCTCGCAGTGCCGGCGAAACCCCGAGGCGCTCCTCGCTCACGCTGGCGCGGCTGCCCATGGCCCGCCCGCCCGGCCCGCCCTCGCCCCTCCCGGCCTGCCAGCGCCGCCCCCTTTCTCGGGAAGGGAGAATCCGCCGCAGCTGGCCAGAAGGGGGAAAGCCGAGGCGAGACAACCTCCCGTTGATCATTCGCTTAGAAAACTTCCCGGGGCA